TTTAATTGAATCAGGACCAGATCTCGACAGTTGCGTGAGATGTTATGTTGTATTAGAGAAGCAGCAGGCATGATCTCATATCATTAAATGCCAAGGATGAGGCTTGGTTTTCCTGAGCCTGACCACATGGTAGACTTGATGCTAAAAAGATAGTACAACAAGGACTGGTCGACTTGGAGTCAGTATAATGTGTCTGAGTGGGGTATTCTTGCTTCACTGCGGCATGGTATCTCAGTGGGCTAGCACTATAAAACCAGCTTCAGTCTGGGCTAGTACAAGCAGCCGCACATGCACGTCGTCATATGAGCGAAATATTCTCAAGCACGACGTAAAACCCAATTTCACCTCACCTCCACAGATAGCACTCACCCACAACCCTCCTACCTAATATCAATTAACTCACCCTCAACCTACTTCCCTTACACATTCACTCAACCCATGAAGGTCCGGGTTAGAATTGATCTTCACTCACCAATGCTTGTCGTAAGAGGCGACTAATGGGATCGGGTGGTCTTGGTGCTTACTTGGTTGACACATGTCATCGTATCCCAATTGCATAGATTGATGCTCATGCTGTTGATCACTGGATTTTCTGGAGCAGACTTGATTATTTATAGATTGCCTGCATATAGCTTGAATATTGCTGAGTGTAGCATTAGACAACAAACCAACCACCTAATACCTATCTACCTTACCCACTTACCCAGCTCACATCAATCTCTCACCCAACTCATCAAGCCAGGAGCTGATGTTTACTCTTTGATTAATGGTCTGCCACTCTTGGAACCGCCCACTTGATCCAAAGACTGTCATCGCGCTTTCCTGGCTTTGAGTTTCACTAGAGTGTGAAACATCTACAATTGGGTATTTCACAAACCCCATCTTTACCAAAATTGCTATACAACTCAACCCGTGAAGATCCAGGGTAGAATAGGTCTTCAGCAACCCATGCTTGCCACAAAAGGCAACTATGCTTGTTGTAAGAGGCGACTAACGAGATCGGGTGGTCAGGCTCGCTGACTTGGTTGACACATGTCATCGGTTCCCAATTGCGCAGATCAATGCTCATGCTGTTGATCAGTGGATTGTCTTATCCAGACACGATTATTTACAGACCGCCGCATATAGCTGGAATATTGCTGAGTGCGGCGTAAAACTAAACTCACTCACTGCTATACAACTCACAGTTCACTCACTCACTCCATTCATTCCTCTGACTCACAGTTGGCTTGCTCATCTCGCAGTCTACTCAATCCGCTTACAGTCAATACACTAATGCCACTAAACCGCTATTTTGCCAGAAACACTGAAAGTGTAATGACAACACCTGGCTGATTAGGTATCTGTGCATGGATGTTTCACTGACCTCTGCATTCAACATCCCTGCATAAACTTACCGATATACTAGGTCACTCTGACCTCAGCAGGGAAAGGTCGTTTTGTCAAAATGTCACAATACTCCAGATCACAAATGGCCAGTTTGGCTGACTGTAATCAATGGTAATTAGATGAATGAATCTGATCTAGTATTGTAGACATATTTCCTGGCTGTACGATAGTTTAACCTTTGATATAAGCATCATGATATATTATCGTTGTCATGAACGGGTGAGGCAACACTTTTTAATTCTTAGGATTTTGATCCTCTGGCCAAAAAATGACACTGGGAAAATATAAATTGCGTTTGAAATTTGTTTTGTACTCCTATCACAACAATTCTTGTGATATATCAAACATAAAAAGCACACTTGTTTATCAGTTATTTCAATAAAATATTCAAAATTCAATTTTTCACTGAAAAAATTATAAACCGTTTCAGCAAACATGATGAATGTTTTTTTAGCTTGCCTTTTTCTGATGAAATGAGAGTAATCTCCCTTGCTTTATGACTATTCTCATAGATTGTGACATCACAAGGTTATATGTTCAGCATGTGTAATATAACTGCAAATTACCGACATATATATTTATACACTCCAGGCTTTGTTCGTTCTATGGTGACAGATGGCAACACACTGCATTAGACATTCTCTACTTGGTAGATATTGACACATGGTTCCCAATTCAGGTGTCACTCAAGAAAGGGGGTTGTATCAAATGTATAATAGTTTATTTATTTAGTTTGCCAGTTTCATGATCTTTCCTAATCAAGGAAAAGGTAAATTTCAGAACTCTGTTCATCTGTTAGTCTAACCAGTTGAAATTGTCACACACATTGGTTTATGAAGTTGATGATTTATTATGTTTGACGACTTTTGATACGCACCCCACTGAGGTGAATGTCTTGGAGGTCGTGTGTTAATATTGGCAGATAGTAATGGGTACACTGGGAAAATACCTGTGTGTCTTCCAAATTTGCAGGATGAACAGTTGTGTTACAGGGGATGTGGAAGAGTACGAAAGGTATTTTATGAATTCCTTTGTTTAATAAAAATTGTGCTCAGATCTGTAATACCATGATTAATTATACTTGCTGAATAGATGGGAAGAATTCATAGACATGCATAAAAAGTTCAGCACACTGGTATATTATACCTGAACAGTGTTTGAAATAATTAGTGGTCCTCAAATTCTGTATGGTATTTGAATTTTGCTTACCTCCAAAACTTGCATGCTCTTCCTACTGGCCTATTATGCTTATTTTCGAATATTGCAGTCATGACAAATGCTTTATTAAATGCGTTTTTGGTTGGTTGGGTGATTGATTCATTGGTAGGTTTGGTTGGTTGGTAGGCTGCAGCAGCTGCTATTATAGACATTGCATGTCTTTTATAATCTTTAGGATGCTTTTGTCTATATGATCCCGTTTAGATCCAGGTTAGAATTGATCTTCAGTAACCCATGCTTGTCGTAAGAGGCGACTAACGGGATTGGGTGGTCAGGCTCGCTGACTTGATTGACACATTTCATCGTATACCAATTGCATAGCTCGATGATCTTGCTCTTGATCACTTAATTGTATGGTCCAGACTCGATTATTTACAGACCGCTGCCATATAGCTGGAATATTGCTGAGTGTGGTGTAAAACTAAACTTACTCACTTTTGCCTTCATGAATTTATTATAATTAAGAAAGCAACAGCATATTTTATCAAACACTGCTACATTATGACCTCAAAGTACAGCTGGATGATAATTCCCATTGTTGATAAGGCCCCTTTAAGTGACTTACGACTATCGTGAAGCTCACGATCGCTTTGAGGAAAAGTTGTGGCTAAGGCCCCAGTGGCTTGCTGGAATTAACAGCAAAAATGTCATGTGGTGTGTAAAGAATCCCATTCCAGCAGAAGGAATTTTTTAAGGAAAAAGTTAATGAGAACATAACTTGTGTGTTCAGTTATAAAGTGTAAGAGGATGCTTTAAAAACTCCACACGATATATGAGCATCTCTGGTTATGAGCTCTTACCAGGTTGGAGAACAATCAGTTAATGGCACAGGGTTATAACACGATAGCTTGTAGATTAAATACATGTGGAAATGCTTTAAAATATCTGTGATGCTGTTTTATGCCACATTTACTTTGAATGAAACTTGTTTTATGTGTAATGTAAATAACTAAGTCCATTCCACATTCAGTCTTCCGAAGGGTTTCTCAGACAGAATATGTATCCATATATCTGTTAGTGCTTGTCATGCTTATGGTTTAGAGGTATGAAATATGGATCATGGTCACAGTGTGTGACTAGTCTAGCCTCATTTTGTGCACCATGGGTCACTGCTCATCTCACATCCTATATTCTGTGATATTTGAGTTTCATACTGGCTGTAAGAGGCCCTGAATCTTGTAGAGCACTGACGTATTGGAGGAGGACTGCTGTTGTAGATCCTCACTGGTGTGTTGCAGGATGAGTGACATGTCAGAGGAGGGAGATGACTGTATGAGGCCCTGAATCTTGTAGAGCACTGATGTATTGGAGGAGGACTGCTGTTGTAGATTCTCACTGGTGTGTTGCAGGATGAGTGACATGTCAGAGGAGGGAGATGACTGTATGAGGCCCTGAATCTTGTAGAGCACTGATGTATTGGAGGGGGACTGCTGTTGTAGATTCTCACTGGTGTGTTGCAGGATGAGTGACATGTCAGAGGAGGGAGATGACTGTATGAGGCCCTGAATCTTGTAGAGCACTGATGTATTGGAGGGGGACTGCTGTTGTAGATTCTCACTGGTGTGTTGCAGGATGAGTGACATGTCAGAGGAGGGAGATGACTGTATGAGGTCCTGAACTTGTGATTGTAGGAGGTCCTGACTTTGTTGTATGAGGTCTTGACCTTGTGGCTGCAGGATCCTCACTGGTGTAGTTGCATGAGGTCCTAACTCTGAGGCTGAGATGAGGTAAGATCCCTGAGGCTGTAGGAGGTCCTATCTCTGAGGCTTGGAGGGGGATCTCTGTTGTAGGAGGTTCTAGCTCTGAGGTTGTAGGAGGTCCTAGCTTTTCAGTTGGAGGAAGGTTCTGACTGTTATAGGAGGTCCTAACTCTGAGGTTGTAGGAGGTCCTAACTCTGTTGTAGGAGATCCTTAGCTCTGAGGCTGCAGGGAGGTCCTATCTTGGTTGCATGAGGTCCTTAACTCTGAGGTTGTAGGAGGTCCTATCTCTAAGGCTGTAGGAGGTCCTAACTCTGAGGTTGTAGGAGGTCCTGACTTTGTTGTAGGAGGTCCTAGGCCTGAGGCTGTAGGTTCTATCTCTTAGATTGTAGTAGGTCCTCAGGCTTTGTTGTGTGAGGTCTTAACTCTGAGGCTGTAGGAGGTCCTGACTTTCTGAGGGGCAGTGGGGTAGCCTAGTGGTTAAGGCGTTCGCTCATCACGCCGAAGACCCGGGTTCGATTCCCCACATGGGCACAATGTGTGAAGTCCATTTCTGGTGTCCCCTGCCATGATGTTGCTGGAATATTGCTAAAAGCGGCATAAAACTAAACTCACTCACTCACTCACTCACCTGACTTTCTGACTGTAGGAGGTCCTGACTAATAGTTGTTTCTGACTGTATCTTTTGTGTTGCAGGATGAGTGACGTGTCGGGGGAAGAGGATGGCCAGGAGTGGCTGTATGAGCTGCTACAGGAGGTCCAGCTGGAACAGTTCTACACAAAACTCCGCGATGACCTCCAGGTCACCAGGTAGGTACCCGAGTCATGAATCTAACTTACTAATTTGGTAAGTCAGGCCTGTTTCAACATCATGATGTCATTATGTGTGATGTGATGTCTCTTGCCTACCATGAAACATTTGATTGTCCCATTGCATAGATGGATGCTCATGCTGTTGATCACTGGGTTGTCTGGTCGAATGTCAATTATTTACGGACCATTGCCATATAGCAGGAATATTGCTGAGTGCAGCATTAAACAAGAAAAAACCAACAACACTCATTTTATTGAAGTACCGTAGATAAACACTTTCATCAAAAAAAAATTCTGGTAACCAGCAGTATCGTTTCGCATGAACGAACAAGAGAAAACAACTATGTCAGTGAAGACGTCAAATTTGCAATTAAACATCACTAGATAAGATTATTTACATTTTCAGTTCTAATTTTTGCAAAGCATTGTATTATATGGAGGGATTAAGATGATCGTGTATAATTGTCTCATATATAGAGCCGGAAATAACAATCAGCTGTGCGATCTGGCGATCTACCGGTGATTTAGTTAAAACATACACAATAATATAACAGGATGAATTCTGACGCAGTGATCAGTGTTACTGTTAACTAGTGGTCCATGGATAATGAGGCGGTAATCAGTTCGTGATTGTTGATAATATGATGTGAAATTGGGGCTATTGAGGTTGGAGCGAAAAATGTACCCTCATGAGCATCAGGTAAGCGGAAATTGTACGCACATGGAATGGGGTCAAATATGCAAGCCAGTTTGTTGACGTGATCATCCAGCTACAATAAATATAATATTTAGCGAAACAAATTATATATTATCCATTCTCTATCAACTACACTTCAATTCGAGGCATGAGTAGACGCAATATGATCGTGAATTCTGTGAATAATGCGGACGGAAGTTGTAATTATGGTCACTGCCAGTTGTCTGTGGTCTGAGTTGGCCGAAATTAGGACCCCATCACGGGGGGTTGTCTTATGTATGAAATATACCATTTTGATATAGATTTTAAGGGTCAAGTTAAAGGGTAAGCTTATCTATGAGGTCGGCCTATCTACGGTAATATACGGTACCATGCAAGAAGTCTCTTGGCCCAAGTGGCTCCCCCTCCCCCAACCCCTCCTCTATATAATGTGGTCAGCCTAAATATGGCATGATTCAGTTGACTGACCACTAGTCAACCAGAGTTCACATGGGACAGAGTTGATTTGAAATCGAACACACGTATTGATTTTTTATCAGTCGCGTGTTTGTTGTGAATGACAGTGATGACCATTAAGCGACCTCCTGTCTCACCTGGCACGTGTCTGCCAGGTATATACATGGACCTGGTGACCTACACCAGGGTCAGTGTTGACCAGGAAATGAACAGACTTGACCCGATGTAGGTCAGCATGGCAGGTGTGACTGTAGGAGCAGAAACCACAATAGAAGCTTGTAATATGTTTCATGTTACCTGTAAATGGGGACTGTGAACTGTGGTCTGCTATGTGAGTCAGTTTAGTGAGTCTGTGTGAGGTCGCAGTGCAGCATGGCGTCTCGATGGGTTGGCACCCATGCAAGGATATAACTTAAATGAAAACAGTTCAGACACCACTCCACCGGTCACTCACTCACTCACTCACAAACTCACTCACTCACTCGTGCACACCACAGACAGAAAGGTCATGTTCACAGTCATGTGGCCCAGGCTTACTCCATTATTTAGAGTTCATTTTTGACTATTATTCCTTGTAATTCATGGTTGATGTAAAACTGAGACACTCTCTATTTAATGAACATCATCAGCATTTGCTAAAGTAATCTGCAGAATACAACTGAGATAAAAGAAAATAAACATGAAGGATAAATGAACTGATGAGGTAGGATAAACTTCCATGGAAATGTCTAATGTACATTCACAGGAAACTGTTTACAGATTATCAGACATGTTCAAATGGCAAACAGGTGGCCCTTTTCTCATTTCAGGTTTTGGACTTTCAAAATTATGAAATATGTGCTCAAATTGCTCAAATTGCTGTTTTTGCAAACATCAAATGAAACTCAAAGTATGAGCAGGTCTTCAAAATCTCTTTGTTGTCTTATGTTTGTACTATCTTTAATCTATGGGGAGGTGCGATAGAGTGGTTCAAACGTTTGGTCATCACGCCGAAGACAATTCCCCTCTTGGGTACAATGTTTGAAGCCCATTTCTGGTGCTCCCTGCATTATATTGCTGGATTATTGCTAAAAGCTTCATAAAATCTGACTGACTGACCGACTGACATATAATAGAAAGAGTGAAACTCCATTGTCAGTGTAACAATGTAACTGTAAGTTTTGATATATATGATAACAGTCTGTATGGCATGCCTTGTAGCCATGTATGACACAGTTCTTCACATGAGTAAGTTTCATGGAGAAATGACTCGAAGTTGTTTCTGGGCGTAGAATCAACTTACTCTGAAGGGGGTAGTTGTTTCTACTTCCGGACTCAACAGATTCTCTGACTTTAATCAAATAATTATTTGTAATTTGGCATAATGACCTTCTGTTGCATCAGATCAACTTATTTAAGAATGGCCAATATAGTCATTGCATAGAATCAACAGCAATAGTGGTATGTAATCATAATGATTTAATAGGAGTTAAATTCTTGTATAAGTTTTATAAAATAGATGGAGATACCACTCCCCAGAAATAGCTATCGCTTTGAGTCATATTCACAGAAAATGCATGATTTTTTTGGCTAAAGACAATTTGTTCCAAAAAATACTTGACATTTTTTTTTTCAACAGGCTTGAGTTCTGCTGTAATTCTGTTGTTGTCTTTGATCTCCTCATCTTAGAAAAAACAACATGACCTCAGTAACAAAATCCACATATTTCCTCCTACTCAGAATATGAATTGGTTGTTCCCTAATTGTCGCCTTGATTTTTTATGACACAACCCTATTTCCCTCAGAACACCTTTGGCTCTTCTTATTCACTCCCCCTCATGCACTCCCAAAAGCAGGAAGTGCAGGTTTTATGTTAAGTCATGGAGTCACATGGGGTCGGGTCAGAGGTCAACTAGATTAGGATGTTGTTGACCTCCAGGGCAGGTCCACAAACAGTTGTGGCACATGTGTGGGTGCTCTAACTCAATGATAATCTGGCGCCATGTCGCCATCACGGAAGATGACTGAACTCTTTAAGGAAGTTGATGGTGTGATTAGCTACTGAAAACCAATCCAGCTTGTTAATTATCTGATAGAACCTATATTTGTGAAATGTGCTTGAGGCCTGATGACTTTCTTTTCATATTTTGTAGATTTTGCAGAGAAAAAATTAAGCAAATTGGATTTTTTTTCAGGGATGTTTTGTGTTAATGTATACAAAAAGTCCATAGAGAGCTACATAAGCTGCGTATCTGTGTAAAATACTCAAAATAAATCACCATTACCCAATTAATTTGAGTAACGCTTGGTGTCATTTTATTCTGAAGTGGCAGTTGGGAGCCTAGTGGTTAAAGTGTTCGATCATTACGCCAAATCCAGGTTCAATTCCTCACATGGGTACAATATGTGAAACCTGTTGCTGTTGTCCCCAGCATTGTTATTGCTTGATTATTGCTAATAATGGTGTAAAGCCTTACTGACTAATATCCTCTTTTTCATTTTTGCCTGTATTTAGTTACAGAATATACTTTACAGACTTCACACATGCATGAAAACACTTGTAGTGAATAATGTATAAGGGAGTTGCATATACTAGATTATTGTCGATTAGCTATGCATATGGTTGGTGTGAGTTTTAAGAGATCTTTAACACTTAGAGAACAATTCAAATGGAAATAGGAAATGAAACTGAAACGGCATATTAGCCGAGTTTTATTAATGTTTCAAATTGCCACAGTGTGGTGTAAAAGTAACAATAGATTGGATCCCAGAGAATTCACATGAATAACATAATGAACATCCATAGAAACTAGGAATACTCAAGGTATATCCAAATCATAAGGAGCCTGAGTTCATTAAGTACTTATATAACATTAATGCAAGTTATTTTCAGCTAAGTATGTTTCAGTGTGAGTGATCATTGATGATAAAACACAGTAATTCTATGATCAAGCAAAGTTACATGACAATTAAGCAGAGAAATCATTGATGATCAATCACAGTAATCATTGACAATCAGGCATTGATCAGACCCAATATTTTAGATTTAGTTTACTCTAGCAAGGGTAAGCTTTAGAATGAAGAAGCCATAGGTGAATGAAATATGATCCAGTTCCGCATGGAGACCTTCAAATATGCAACTTAGGCCCACAGTATTATACTGAATGTAACTGGTCATAAGTCAACTTCAAAGGAACTGAATCATGTATGGTATCTTTTCTGGAACGTTTTGGTATTACATTTGTATTTGGCTAAAAAATTGTTCCATAAAATACAGGCAAGGAATTTATTTTTCCCTTGTAAAATATATTGGAACTTGAGCATGCTAGCTGTCCTGACAAATGTAGATTGTGAGAAGCAAGGTAAAACTGCAATGCAACATCTTAGGGTAAAAAACAAAGAAGACCTAATTCCATTCACGTGAGAGAATCCAGTCTTTGTTAAGCTTTTTGAAGTGAGAACCACAAGCATGCTTCATGTCTGCAAGGGAATCTATGTGACTTACCACAGTGGCAGTTGGTTTTTGACAGTTTTTGTTTGCCCCTTTTTCTCTAAGACAGGACACAGCAACGGTAACATGATTACAAAGCAGCAGTGTTGAACTGAATTGTTGAAATGTTGAAGTTTGTTCATGTAAGCTATGCAGAAGATATAAAGAAATGTCAGTGTGTTGTAAACAACTGGTTTTTGTACATGTGGCCAACATGCATGTAATACAATTATGCAGGTATGCAGTTGGGAGATGTGAGATGTAGCAGGTGCTTGCCTACACATGTGTCACCAGGAAGTTGATGTAGGGTTGGCTGAGAGGCTTTACTGTCCTCTACCAGGGGCTAAAGGGCTGAAACCACCTAAGTCGTCTCTGTTGTGTTATCTCAATTCTCACCTCATTTATTATTGTCTAAAGGTAATATGTCACCGGGGGTGGGGAAGGGGACAAAACTTTTCAGCTCTCATCCCAATAAATTTAATAAGCTATGGCTGAACACTAAACCCCAAATCCATGCAACACAAAACCTAGTCTACATTAAATCAATGGAACACAAAGCCAACACTACCCTAATTCCATGCAACACAAAACCTACTCTACCCTAAATCCATGCAACACTACTCTACCCTAAATCCATGCAACACAAAACCTACACTACCCTAAATCCATGCAACACAAAACCAACACTACCCTAAATCCATGCAACACAAAGCCATCTCTACCCTAAATCCATGCAACACAAAACCTACTTCACATTAAATCCATGCAACACAAAGCCAACACTACACTATATCCATGCAACACAAAGCCAACTCTACCCTAAGTCTATGCAACACAAAGACTACACTACCCTAAATCCATGCAACACAAAGCCTACACTACCCTAAATCCATGCAACACAAAGCCAACACTACCCTAAATCCATGCAAAGCCAACACTACTCCTAAAACACACAGCCTACCCCCTAAACCCATGCAACACAAAGCCACTACTAAATCCTACAACCAAAGCCAAACCCATGCAAACACAAAGCCAACACTATCCTAAATCCATGCAACACAAAGCCAACTCAACCCTAAACCCATGCAACACAAAGCCAACACTACCCTAAACCCATGCAACACAAAGCCAACTCTACCCTAAACCCATGGGGAAAAAGCCGAACACTACCCTAAACACAAAGTCTACAGTACCCTAAATTAATGTAACTCAAAGCCTACACTACCTAAATACAGGCAATTCAAAACCCAGCTACACTATTTCAAGCCATATCTAGGCTTGTCTCACTCAAGACAATGTTAAGTGCACAAGACTCAAGACCATGTTTAATGAGTGCTAACATTGCTTTGATGTGAGGGCCTTGAAGTTGTCGTGGATTGATTTCGCAACTGACCGAAACATTTGCATGAACATAAATAAGAGCACTCACACTTTACAATTAACTTATAGAATGCAAAGAGCACATTGTGGTTTTGTGAAGAACATTCACAATATCACTTGTGTGAACTTATGTGAGTGACCCGTGAAGGTCTGGGTTAGAATATTGATATTCAGTAACCCATGCTTGTCGTAAAGAGGCTGACTAACGGGATCTGGTGGTCAGGTTGCTGACTTGGTTGACACGTCATCGGTTCCCAATTGCGTAGATCGATACTCATGCTGTTGATCACTGGATTGTCTGGTCCAGACTCGATTATTTACAGACCGCCGCCATATAGCTAGAGTATTGCTGAGTGTGGCGTAAAACTAAACTCACTCACTCACTCCTCTCTCATGCCTAGCAGTAATATGAAAAAATTTCATGGTCCTTTCTTTTATTGTGTAGCATATTTTGTCTAAGAAATTAGTGTGTCAATTCATATTGAACAAATATATCGTTTTGGTAATTAAAAGTAAAAGTGATATGTGGCAAGTAAGTGTGAAGTCCAACATTACGATATGTCGAAGTGATTAATTATTGGCCAGCAAATTGTATGTTGATGTCGGAGACAGACATGGAACAAGTACATTTTTGACTCAGTGATGACTGTACTCAATAAAATATGACTAATATGTTGCAGACTGGTGCACTTCGACTATGTGAAAGGGGAAGACCTGGAGAAGATCGGGATGGGGAAGCCCGCCATCAGACGTCTGCTCGATGCTGTCAAAAGAAAAAAGTCTGTTCGCAAAAAAGGTGGAGGAATCCTTGACAAGGTAGGCGCATCAGTTATCACCTGAAGACTGTTTCAAGGAAATGTATTTAGTTAGTGTCATTAGGTGGGTTTTAGCTGTCATACATTTTGATGGAAGGGTCCTCATATAGAACTTACACCCTATGGGAATTTCATGTTTGAATTGGTCCCAGCAACTGGTGGATCGAGTGATCATGCTAAATGAAAATAATGATAGCATGTCATCGTAACCTGATGGCAAAGATCTCGGGTCACAATATCAGTCTGGATTGTACAGATTGTCTTGAAGATGCTGGATTGTCTGATCCGGACATACCTATTTCCAGGTTGCTGAATGGCCAGAATATTGGTATTATTTCTATGGAATTGGATTGCTTTTGCAGAGGGCAACTCCCAGTGTCCCAGTTTTAAATAAATCAGTGTATCACCGAAGTCGCTGTGTGGTGTGTGTACTGGCACAGTGCTTCAGCCAGGCAAGCGCCATTGCGCCATTCACACTCAAAAATATGCAATGGCACTTTTTTTTCAATGCTAGAGAGCCCATTGGCGCAACATTTAATATAATCCACAGGTCTTCTATACCATGGTTACCATGAATGGCAAAAGTCTCAACTGCATTGGCACACATTTTAGTAGTTAAGGTGCCAATTGGCAACACTCAAAAAAATTCTGGCTGAAGCACTGACTGGCATTGTTCTTCTCGTGTTTCAGATATTACCGAGTGGGAAGACCAATGAGAAGGCATCCATGAAGAAACAGAGCCCTGGCTCCAAGGCTACAGAACAGGCACTAACTTGCCTCATAGACCAGAAAAGTCTTAACATGTATGAAAAACTGGGCAATGGGTCATTCGGTGTGGTTAGGAGAGGGGACTGGATGACCCCTGCCGGGTCAAAGGTAAACTTGAAAAACAAAGTATACACCATACATTTTTTTAAAATGTAGGATAACAAGTGTGTTGCTTCTAAACCTCAAGCAGCAACTTCTGGTTAATGATGTAAGGGAGACAACTCTATCAAGATGGTGTTGGTTCTGTTTGGTTTTCACATGTATGATTTTAAAACCTACAAGTCTATTGTATGATTAGATTTTGCTAGATTTACAATATGAATTGTGACGTTCAGACTGGTTATGATTAGAAATGCTAATTTTTCATATTTGATTATTATTTTCAGAAAAGTGTTGCGGTGAAAATTTTGAAGAATGATGCCCTTGCACAACCAGGAGCTTTTGAAGACTTTGTGAAGGAAGTGAACGCCATGCACACCCTCAACCATCCCAATCTGATCAAACTGTACGGAGTTGTCCTGTCTGCACCTCTCATGATGGTAAGTTAGAAGCGCATCCCAACCTGTCTGACCATGACAGAAAAAGGCTTTTGATCCACCCTTAAGTCCATTCAACACATCAGGGTTTGGGCCTAGGGCGAATGATTGTTTCGGAGTGATGTGATCATCACTGCAGAGCGTTATGAGTCCCCAGACACGGAGGCAGGAGTCCTGCCATCGCGGTTTATTAATCAGCCAGGCAGTAGTCGCGCACAGAGTCTCGAGAAAAATGAGACATATTTCTGGAGACCCTACCTGACTTATGATTCATATATTTAATCTATCACATTTCACAATGTCTGAAAACACTTATTAAATTTCAATTTATCATATATTATCAGCAGAATTAAAATTATAAACTATTTCTGCAATGTTGTGAAAACAACGATTCTACGGACACAGGCGGACCTTGACGAAGCGGGTCCACAATAACATTGTCAAAGAGCGAAGTAACCATGTTTGAGGAATTCATTAAATAAATTGACCAGATGCCGTCTATAAACAACATTCATAAAAGTTGTCAAACTGTACTTCCGGATAACTTCGAACATATAAAATAACTATTTCCATCTATTCACAGTTCAAGACTTACGTCACAAGTGACAACTATATATATCAGTGAGCGAACGCAAGCCTCATTACAGTCCAGTTAACCTGAACATTCCTTGATTAGACTGCCTTTCTTCAAGATTTGTGCGACTTCATGTAATGTAAGTCAAGTCACTGCCTAAGTGTAAACCTACTAAACTGTTTGGAGAACATCTCCAACCTGGGGATATGAATATAGTGCTCTCACAAGTGTAGGGTTTATGAACTACGCCAGACATACTTGGACCTCAATCTTCACACTTTCGGACACAATGTTTAATAGCGAAAATATATACATGAAGCATTTTGGTCTGAGGTCATCACCTAGCACTATACGTCCAATAAGTTCCATAATTTGGGAGATATCACCACCGAGGGACATTATAGGTGACAACAGCTGACATTTCGAGAAAATAAGTCAATCCTAACAGATTTTTACTTGCTTAATAAATGTTCAGAATAAGCAGTTATTTTACCCAAAACATCATACAATTTGTCTAAATCTAAAAGTTTTGTTTTCATTTAAAGGTAATATGGTTACATGATAAATGCATCAGCTAACAATCTCTACAGGTATCCATTGCCGTATATATAGGATTGGCTGCCTTAGGTCATTATATGGGTCTGATTTTGACCAATCACGCTTAAATATGGTTGTATAACATATATTAGCTAACAAAACTCTACAGGTTTAGACTGTCATATATGAAAAGCGTCATTAAAACCAATCTTTATCAATAAAATCGCTTCTTACAACTGTGAAAATACTCTTAACAAAACTTCGTGAGGTTTTGCTATTATAAGGGTACAGTGATATTGTATTGATGTTCAGAGCTTTTCGAGCTATTATATATGTGCTTAGAAGTTCATTATATCTTCTATATATACTGTATATGTAGCTTAAGTTAATTATATCGACATCAAAGCGATTAAGCTAACAAACTCTACCTCGCATATTATTCATATAAAGCCAACAAACTTAATTTAACAATCAGTCTTGAGAAGGCCTTAATTTAACAACCAGTCTTGAGAAGGCCTTAATTTAACAACCAGTCTTGAGAAGGCCTTAATTTAACAGCCAGCCTTGAGAAGGCCATATCTAACAGCTAACTTTGAAAAGGCCTCAATGTAACAGCCAGTCTTGAAAAGCATTTAATATGGCAGCCCAGCCTTTGTAAGGCCTTAAATGAAAGTCTGCCTAAAAGAGTCGGTAAACCTCAATAAAGTGCCATAAAAATACTATTGATTTTGGCATCCAACTCTTTAGTTAAATATCTATCATTCATGTAAATATATTTCACAATTTTCTTAGTTTTTAGACTTCCTTTTTGCCAAACCTGATCCATTCCAGCTCTGAGTAAAGTTTTCCTTCCTCAGATAACAGAGCTAGCTCCCCTTGGTGCCATGCTGGACAGACTGCGTGCGCTGCAGGAGAAGATACTGATCTCAACCCTGGTGGAGTATGCAATACAGATATCTACTGGCATGAGCTACCTCGAGTCCAAACGCTTCATACATCGAGACCTGGCCTGCAGGAATGTCCTGTTGTCTACACCAGACAAGGTGATGATGATGTAATGACAAGGGCAGATAATAACTTGTCTTCTTCATAATTGACGTAACACACATTTACATCATTGGTATTGTCCGATTAATGAAGGTTATTATTAACGACTGTAATTTATCTACGCATGAGCGACGGGAACGAAAAGTTCTGTGTTTTAACAAGGAATGTAAGTAATGCTGTTACTCTTTATATTGGTTAAATAGACGTAAATTAAATAGCCTAAGATCTGATTTAATGCCTTATTGCCATCCTTTCAAGTTTCTATAATAATCTCTGCCAAATCGTGATTGAATATTCAGACAGTTGACAGAAGCACTGCATTCCTTACATTTCCGGGTACTCGATTCCGATTTGGGTAAGCACATGCGGGTAAAGAGTAACAGCATTCCATTTTTTCCTACCAGTCCCAGCCCAAATATGATGCCAACTTTTGTTATGTAAACTGCCACGAATCTCTGTGAACAGTGTAGCAGGGGAGACAACTCTTTCTTTATGCCACATATAGGCTTGTTGGCTCGAATATACCTTATTTCTGGCCCAAGTTGCCCTTACCACCATTCACCAATGACACTGTTGCTTTGAATTTTGCCATTACCTTACTTTTACTGTCACGTGACTAAATCGTTAAAAGGTACTGATTGTTTGGCTTGATGTCATGATACATTCTTGCTTTCAGGTAAAGATTGGTGACTTTGGGTTGATGCGAGCTCTGCCCAGTCAGGAGGACCACTACGTGATGTCTGAACACAAGAAGGTGCCGTTTGCATGGTGAGAAGATGTTGACAGTTTCACCAAATGACCTTGACCCTGATGGCCTATTTTCCATTGGGTTATGAGGCAGACCAACAAAATACTTATGAAATTATCACAAACGAAAAATAATTGTTGTGCTTTTTTCATTAGCGTTTTTGAGGGGAACGGGAAATAGACACCTCTATCCAGTTATGTCTGTTTTCATTAATGATATAAACACTGTAAATATCTAATTGATCTGGTACATATTTGTTTCAGGTGTGCGCCAGAGAGTCTCAAGTCGCGTCAGTTTTCCCATGCAAGTGACACGTGGATGTTTGGGGTGACGTTGTGGGAGATGTTCACATATGGTCAGGAACCATGGCTGGGGTACAATGGCTCACAGGTAAAAACTTGATCTGTCGATTTGTGAATTAGTTTTGATACTGACAATGGTTCATTTTCACAAACATTGGTTGGCTTTTATCCAAATTGTTTTCACCCACTCACTCACTCACCAACCCACCAATCACTCACCCACTCAATCACCCACCCACCCACTCACTCAGATACTGGTGAGAATTGGTCTTCAGCAACCCATACTTTCGAATATCAAATAACGGATCGGACTTGCTGATTTGGTGGACACACTTATTTACAGACAGCTGGCATGTATCTAAACAATCGCTGAGTGTGGCGTTAAACAACAAGAATACAAATAAACACTCACTCACTCTTGGAACTCACTAGATCAATTATTCAGTCACTCACTTGATCACTCTTTCAATCTCTCTCTCAGTCTGTCGTGTACTCTTTCCAGATTCTTCAGAAGATTGATGTTGAAGCAGAGCGTCTGAGCAAACCCAAGTGTTGCCCAACCGACATCTACCAGCTCATGTTGCAGTGCTGGGCACATAAGTCTCATGATAGACCAACATTTGTGGCACTGAAGGACTTCCTGTGTGAGGTAAGGGATGACGTTGTTTATGCTTATACCATCTCAATCCCATCAGGCCTGATCCTAGTTCTTGCTGAACATCTGACGACATCTCCTGAGGTCAACAAGCAATAACTGTTCAATCAGCATGCTGCTTACCAGATCAGGAAAGATACTGTCAGAAGGTGTTTTCTAATTGTACAACCACAAGAAGGTTCACACGGATTTATTCAGAGAGCAACAACTTCAAAATGTTCGAAGGAATCTGTCATTATCAGAGTATATCTCCAGCTTCAATGTGATTTATAAACATTTGAATATTTGAATAATTCCCCCATGGCCATTCTTGGTTAGCATAAGGACTGCCTCCGTGGTGTAGTGGTTAGAGCGTCCGCCCGGATAGCAGAAGGTTGCGGGTTTGATCCCCGACCGCATCATACCAAAAGACGTTAAAATATGGTACTTGTTGGGCCCTGCCTGGCTCTCGGCATTAATGGGTACAACAAGGACTGGTCGGCTTGGAGTCAGTATAATGTGTCTGAGTGGGGTATTCATGCTTCACTGCGGCATGGTATCTCAGTGGGCTAGCACTATAAAACCAGCTTCAATCTGGGCTAGTACAAGCAGCAACACATACACATACACATGCATGCACGTCATCATATGAGCGAAATATTCTCCAGTGCGACGTTAAACCCAATTTCACCTCACCTCGCCTTGGTTAGCATTAGATCCACCAGAAATCAGCAATCAATGCAATGGTATGAATGGTGCTCATTATATCAATCATGTGTTTTGTTGGAGATGTTGTATGATTGTTGATGTATTTTGCTTGCAGGTGCGCACCAATGATATGAGAGCCACTCAGAAGTTCCAGGAGAAGGATAAGCTGGAGGTTGACGAGGGGGATCTTATCACGATCATTGACGGAAAGTGAGTATGCTGTCTTTACTTTCCAATGGGGGACCCATGAAGATCCTGTTTAGAATTGGTCTTCTGCAACTTCTGTAAGAGGCGACTAACTAGATCGCGTGGTCAGGCTCTCTGACTTGGTTGTCACATTTCATCGTACCTCAATGCTCATGATATTGATCACACGCTTGTCCAGTTCGGACTTGATTATTTACAGACCGCCACCATATAGCTGGAATATTGTGGAGTGTGGCGTTTTCTCAAAATATATTATAGATAGGGACACCAAATTTGGTATGTGTTTTCAGGACATGAATGTCATAGTGGAGTTTAAAAACAGGAACCAAACAGGAACAGAACACTGTGGCAGGGGACATTGATGACCATGTCTTGTTAAAAATGGATTTTAAGCATTTAGGTTCTTGACAATTTTACTTGAAACTTACATTTATGACACAGATCCCTTGCTGAATCTGAAACACTGTTTATCACTGATGGAGGGCAGGAAGGTGCTGTAGGTGCAGCTGTGTTGAATTACACCCCAAAGGCATGATGATCAGGTGTTTGCTGCATCTAATCCCATATTAGCAGTTTCATGTCCTAGGTCTGCCTGCACTAGATCCATGCCAGGTGATCATTGTCATTTAGTAGTGAACGTTTTCCGACCTCCATCTCTTGAAACTTCGTTCCAACATGCAGTTGATGTACCAGAATATACATGTACTGGTAACTGAAATAGTATTACAGAGCCTGTTTGTGGTTGAGAGAGCATGATGTCCTTTGTTTGCTTGGTGATTAACATGTCAGTCACAGATATTCCAGATATTTTCCTGGGCATGTAGTTAAGTCTGGAGAAACTAGTGGTGGACATTATGAGCAAAGTCACCCACTATCTGCTTCCGATGACATAGTATAAACCAGGACTGTTGCTCTGTTTATAGCTGTCTGCCTTTATATATCTGCCAAGAGTGGATGGTCCATCTACAAACCCTGTCTGTGTCATACCAAAAGACTGATGGTAGTCATTAATGGGGTAAAACAATGACTGATCGCCCAGGAGTCAATATAATGTGTCTATGAGTTGGGTAACCATCTTCAACTGCATCATATCTCAGTGCACACAACTTCATGGATGTACATTGAACTAAAAGTGGAACTGTCCCAAACACAACACTGTTAAACCCCATTTCACCTCACTTCCAAGGTTCTGTTTGTTCCCATTAGCAATATAATGTGGTAGCATTCCTACATACTAGAGGATGGCACAGTCCAGATAACTGAGCTTCTGCAAATAGCTGCTCTTTGTTGAATCCCTTAGTTATCGCAGGTTGTGAAAATCAAGGGTTCAATCTTAATTTGTCAGAACCATAGTTAAATCTAGTTAAATCCTGTCTAGTTTTGTATTCTCAGTTTTTAATATTCCATATAACATTTTAGCAGAGACCATATAATAGAGGGACGGCCCTCTCCAACAGTTTATCACTAACCATCAGCGTTACGGCCTGGCATGTAACTGATACACATCGACAACCTGCTGCTAACTTCCCTCTACCGGTACACATGCGCAACAAATGCGCAGACATTCACAAATGAGCACTCTGGTAACCACGTAAACAATATTGCGTAATATCCGGGCCTAGAGTTAATTCCCTTAGCGGGATTTCACCGGCTGCGTTTGACAGTTAAGCATTACATGGACAGCTCCATTAAACTGATTACAATAATCTTAATTTTTATCTTATCTCTCATTTGCACATGTCAACTGACAACATCGCAGAACATGTATCATTATACGCGAAATGCGTGTCGTCATAAGCCTGGAATGTTTGTTTCAACATTCGGCATGGCCATGGGCGACTTAATTCATTCACTGGGATGATTCGACTTGGACCTCGATACTTACTTGGAATTCACAGACTTCGACAGGACAGAGAATATAAACCAAAATACAAAATCAAACTCACCCAGTCAGGTAAAGGCAGTTTTAACATTACAGTTGCCAATATCCCGATGCTGCGCTAAAGCATATCATCACATGGCTAATCTCAAGATTTACTTGCAAGTATTCGTTGGCACAAAGCGAGGGTGTGGTCAAGCAGTCGATGAAAGTAAAAATTCCAGCGAATTTATAAAGAATGTGCAGATTTGCAGCGTTAGCCAATCAGAGGACTTGCCGACCACACCCTTTGTGTGCGGACATATCGTCATCCATTGTGTCAAGATCGTTTAGTTGAGAGTCAAAATTGGTTTTCAATCGACTTGCAGAAATAACAATAAAGAATTGGTAGGTGTCATGAATGTTGCTCGATAGGCCAATCATCCATGATTATGTTTACATAAAGTTTTAATCGATTGCATGCGATGGTATGGCGTAGCGTCGACGCAGCATGAGTCGGTGCGGTGCACCCTAGAAGTGTCGGCCTTGTCATTATGTATTGTACTGTGAAGCATTTTAAGTGAGGTGTCTTCTCAAAAACAATATCATTAAAATCATGAATCCTCGGAAGAACTACGAGGGCCTGTGACTGACTGGTGTTTATTGTAAAGTTTATAGTCCCAGCGAAACCACGATTTCACATTTTCCAAGAGTGTTAATGTTTTCATAATGCCAGTTTGGGGCTAGCAGTGATTATGCTTTGGGCCGTTTGGAGACACTTGTTGTTTTTTTTCAAAGGGAAGCCACTAAATACTAAAGTCACTTGCCTCCGAGCCCATGAAATATATGTGTTAAATGGGCTGTACTACATTACCCTGTCAATTAAAAAATATCAGCAAAGTGTCAACTTTAACTTGGCAGGAAAATGCAACAAAAAACATTAAAACACAACATCACACGTTCTTATATGTACAATGTATTTATTGTAGAATAGGACCATAGATCTATATGTACAATCATGTATTACTAAATTCAACCGTATAGATATTCTTTCATTAAAAACACAGTAAATGTGAATTTCAACTGTTGCAAATAAACTCTAAACTGAATTTGAAATTAAAATTATGCAATAGTTGGTTGCCAATGGTCTTTCAAACAAGGTATATCTACTTAATCAAGATGGGAATATTGTACTTAATAGTAGGCTCTTTGAGTTGCCCTTCCGATGAAAACTTTCTTTTTCCTGGGCATCTACAAAACAAATGATAATTTTATGATATAAATATAATGTTGAATAATGAGTTCATTTTTCATTTTTGTTGTTGCATAAGACAGGTTGTAGGTACTGTCTAAGCCCAGGTAAACTCATAATCAAACTTCATTAGGAAGAATAATGATAACAGAAAAATATATTAATTGTAGTCATGATAAAATAAGGGAAAATGATAACTTATAAACTTCTTGCAACACAACCTGCATAGTTATGTAGTCCATTTAGGACTGATTGTGAATGTAAAACATAAAATCATACAAATCTGAACACAATCTTAATATCACTTCATTAACAGATATTTTAGATATCCATGAAGTGAACTGTACATTCGACTAGTTCATCTACATGCTGAAACAGCTCCTTTTTTAATGTTAAATATTGCTGGTATCGCAGGATGCCATCAGCAAATTCATCTACATTGTTGTCTGGATGATACTGGTGAATTGTGTCAAATAAACCCAAAGAATTCATCAGCCGAACAACCATCAGAATCTGTCGCTTCTTCCAGGCATGGGGTATCTTTGGGTTCATCGGTGAGGTCAATGAAGAATGACTTCCATGCTTTGTCCCACAGTGCATCTCTTGAACTGAAAATGGAGTTACACAATATTAATATTAAAAAAATAAATTTGAAGTGTTCTAAATAGTTGTTAAAATTATGCAATAGTTGGTTGCCAATGCTCTTTCAAACAAGGTCTAGTTACTTATTCAAGATGGGAATATTGTATTTAATAATTTACACTATACCGCTGCTTTTACATAAGAAAAGAAACAATATTAATATTTGATTATACAATTGCTTTGATATTTTAAACTTATTTCTGCAGGTACCAGATATACAAGTACCAATAACTACAAAATATCAACACAAAATTACTCATTTTTTTTTTCAAAGACATCATTTGTGAATTTCTTACTTCTATTATTACTTACCTGCAATCGTCGAGAACAGTTGATTGAACTGATGAATAAGAATGTCAGAGAGAGAGGAAGAACTGACACCTTGTTGTCTCGGACCCCACTTGAGTAGCCCTTCCGGCGACTGCCGATGAAAACTTTCTTTTCCTGGGCATCTGCCAAACAAATGATAATTTATTATATAAATAGTGTAATGATATAAATATAATGTTGATTCATTGTTGCATAAAGTCAGGCTGCTGGTACTGTATAATAATATAATAATATATGGCAATATAACTTCAGTAGGAAGAATAATGATAACAGAAAAATATATGAATTGTTACATGATAAATAAGGACCTTTTCAACAAATATAATCATCAAAATGAACAATAATGGAAATATGTACTTTTTCAAGCGATTAGGTGAATGAGACTTTTTTAGAATGATTTAAATATATATTCCGTTATATTAATGAGCGAAGAAATGAATGTTATGTCGTCTGCTACATGATAATTGAAATGTTCAGTATCTGACGTAAATATGGGTTTCGTAAAAAATCATAAAAAATAAAATACCGATCGTAGCCATATAAAAAGTGTACTTACGCAAAGAGGAAATCGCCGTGAATGTTCACATGTTTATTTTAAACATGCTAGTAATAAGCTGTTCTTGTGGCGTCGTCGAAAATCAAGTGTTGTGGAGTAAAATATTTGGGAAAACATCATATTTCATCGCATTACACGAGGCCAAAATAAGGAATGGCCTTGAGCATACAGACTTATAAATGCCCTATACAAATCTTCATCTTATTTTCTTTCATTACACCCGGTAACTAGGATTTGCATTGAGAATTAGTATCCGTTATTGAAAATCAAAATCGGGACTTTGCCGATTTTACACCTCCGCCATTGTTCTCACAGAGCAGCGAGCACACATGACAGTTTTCATTAAATACAAAGACAAATATATGCTTTAGCACCCTAATACACCTCTAATGCACTGTTGCAAATGTAAGTATAGGCATGAGAATACATGAAAAAAATCAGATCTTACCTTTGCAATGAAAATACGCGAAATCGATGACTGAAGTCAACACTGCGTTTTAAGCCAGCTTCGAATGGATAGGCTGCGCAGTATAAGCCGTAGCGCTGATGGTTTTGCGCACTGGCTAGAGGGCCGTCCCTCTATTATATGGTCTCTGATTTTAGCATACTGAAAATGGTACAAAGGGCCAAGTTCAGACTCGTTGACTCAAAAGGTTCAGGCACAGCTGTTTCTAAATCAAAAATAGCTGAAAACTGTACAAAGGATGCTAATTTATAGCTATAGCTGTATACAGCTAGCGACACTGAAATAGGCAGTCCTCTTTATCTTGTGTGGAATGTGTAAAAACCCATCCTTATCAAAACTGTTTCATCACCATTCTGTTATAAATACATCCGTGAAGGTCCGTGTTAGAATATTGATCTTCAGTAACCCATGCTTGTCGTAAGAGGCGACTAACGGGATCGGGTGGTCAGGCTTGCTGGCTTGGTTGACACATGTCATCGGTTCTCAATTGTGGAGATCGATGCTCATGCTGTTGATCACTGGATTGTCTGATCCAGACACGATTATTTACAGACCACCGCCATATAGCTGGAATATTGCTGACTGCGACATAAAACTAAACTCACTCACTCACTGTTATAAATACCCAAGACTTTTTGCCATAGTCCTGAGCCTAGATTTTCGAAGCTCTCTTAGCGCTAAGATAGTCGTAGGCACTTACGACTATGTTAGCGCTAAGAGAGCTTCGAAAATCTAGGCCCTGTACCAGAAGCAATGTCACCATCTCCATCCTAACTGTTCTAACCTATGCAGAATTTCCCATGCTCATAAGAGTAAACTGGTGGTTATGTTTAGTATTGTGCCTTCCAATCTGGCTCAAACAAGTTGATAGTAACCAGCAAGTCACAGGTGTTAATCAGAGTGGAAATGTGGATGTAATTCTACCCGGATGATTAAGGATGTCTCAGATTATTTGTTACGAACTTTGTCAGTGGAATTAACATTATATGCAGAATTAGATTGATTTTAGGAATGACAAGTCTTTATGGATGATCAACTTCTTTATTGTACAATAGCAACATTTCGGTATGGATACTTATGCCGTTTTGAAGCTTGAGGTGGTGACTGGATATAGCAGGATATATATAGGGGACACCCACAAAGACTTGCCATTCCTAGTACTTGATGTGAGGGCCTTGAAGTCATCGTGGATTGATTTCGCAACTGACCGAAATGTTTGCATGAACATAAAAAACAACACTCACCCTTTACAATTAACTTATAGAATGCAAAGAACACATTGTGGTTTTGTGAAGAACATTCAAAATAACACTTGTGTGAACTTATGTGAGTGACCCGTGAAGGTTCGGGTTAGAATGTTGATCTTCAGTAACCCATGCTTGTCGTAAGAGGTGACTAACGGGATCGGGTGGCCAGGCTCGCTGACTTGGTTGACACATGTCATCGGTTCCCAATTGCGCAGATCGATGCCCATGCTGTTGATCACTGGATTGTCTGATCCAGACTTGATTATTTACAGACCACCACCATATAGCTGGAATATTGCTGAGTGCGGCGTAAAACTAAATTCACTCACTCAAACAGTTGATTGATTTTGAAATAGACATTTTCAGATACTGCTACGGGCGGTGTAGTTTTAAGATCACACCAGGTGGGGACCTGGGTTAGAATAAGTCACCATGATTATTTTACTTGTTTCGAAAGGTGAGGCAGTGAGGTAGCCTAGTGGGTAAGGCATTTACCCATCACAGTGAAGACCCATGTTTGATTCCCCACGTAGGTACAATGTAGGTACAGCTAACAGCTGTTATAATCACTACTCACTCTCACTCACTCTATTGGAAGACAACTAACTGAATTGGATGATCAGATTCTGTGATTGGTTGTGTGTTATTGTACTTCAACAGCAAGGATCATTGCTCATAATATTGACCACTGGATCCTCTGGTCCATCCTTGATTATTTACATACAACTGTAGTGTAGCAAAGTTAAAACAAACAAACAATGGCATTTCACTCCATGGGACCTGGGATAAAAGATACCACCTGCACTCTTATGCTTGATTTATAAGTTGACTAAATGCCCTAATACCAGGCTCAAAGTCTCAGCTGCAATGTGTCACCTTACCCGACAGATTAGAATGTTGCTCATACTATCAGCCACCTGTTATACACAGGAATACTAGATACTGCAGCATGTGCAGCAACCAAACAAGTGGCCTCCATTACTTGCCATTGATCTGTTGCAGGCTTCCTGTAAATTAAAAAGTCATTACACATCAATGTCTGTGAAAACATGCATGATGTTCATAAGAGAGAATTGGAGAATTAATCTTAAATCCCCCATAGTAACAACACAGCTGTAAGTCAAAGCACTGGCCTCTTGCATTGACCTACGATATTATGGTGATGTTTATCCGTGTTTGGATATTTCCAATCTCGTCAGTGCTGTAGCGTTGGTTGGATAGACATCTTGGTAATGTTTATTGATTGACGCTAATGTACATTTTAAAATTAGATGTTGGTTGCTGTGTGCTCATTATGGTGATCTAATGCTACCAGTCCGCAGATACACCCACGCATCGTGAATATGTTGTCATACGTCCACCCCAACACACAGGTGAATTGTGTACCTGGTGACCCTTTGTCGACCTTGCCCGATTTCTCGTCACTTGTGATAGTGAGGTACAGATGGGAGATGAAATGTTGCGTAATCAAAAGACTAAGAATAGAGCACATTGTACGAGTATGATTGTACAAATATCTTGATGATGTTACGGAGATTTGCACTTGGGCACCTTTTAGCTGTTGGAGTTATAAACCCATTAGTTTACTTGCAATGTGTATTGCATGTCTTAAAACAACAGTATTTGGGGCTTCTTACTCCTACATCAAGCTGACATGTGATACAACTGAAATACAGTTCACAACTCCTCACTCACTCACTCACTCACTCAACAATGTTGTAAAACTTCAATATTTTAAAATATTTTTTCAGACTTACAAACCTTGTTTGTGTATACTTTATGTAGATATGTAGAACTTAAATAATTTCAAGTAATTGTAAATAAGTCTCTAGTAAAAAGGTACCTATGTAATCAGTAGTACTTTTAAATAAGTAAAATAGGCAACATTTTTCAATGTACACCTTTAATGCCAGTCATTGTCTTGGAGTGTTTGACTGTATAGCCAGGTAAGCTACAGTGCTGTGACTCTGCTCTGTTCTAATGAGGGATGAAATTAGGGAAGTTAATTTATATATTTGCTGTATGCTTCCCTGCTGTCTTTTATTTTTATTACTTCACTATGCACCGTTTCACCTTTGTATGACAATATGTGATCTTGCATTGCTTCCAAGGCCCTCCCACCATCAGTGACTAATCGTTTTGTCTGTTCCCAGCTGTATATCAAAGCTCAACCACAAGCCATGAATATATATGTATACAATCTCAGTGAGACTAAGCTGCAGCGAAAGCACTCTCTGTCATTGTCTGGGTTTCAACTGGTCTCATGTTCTGTATGATAAGAGGAGGTGGGTGTAGGTGTGGGGACCGTATCAAACATTTTATAATGTTTTTTTCACAAGTATCCATGTATCAACTACTTCGGAAATAAATATATCTCAAGTTTGAGGGTTTTCCAAATATGTCACTTATAAGTGATGTATTTCTGATATATTTTTGTCTTGATTAGGAATTAAATGTGTAACAATGCTAAGTTAACACAGTAAAACTGAGACGGCTCTTAATGATGATTGACTTCGTCATGAAAGACAGTGATGTTATGTTGGTCTCAGGGTTATAAACCAGATGTGAAGTGTTCTGGTATACTGCTACATCTAATGGATTTATGATACTGGACATGTAGTAAAGTAAGTTATTATTACTTGTTTCTTGTACAAAAGTGTTCTTCTTATCATTTACTGATCTGAGAAGGAAAAAGTTTGTTTATGTGATGCGCAGATCTCTTGATACTTATTTGAAGAGAATGGAGTGTTACGTTATACTCTAGTTGGCAATATCACAGATATGCCACATTGTATATCATGGTTATACAATGTTGTATCTCAT